ATAAAAGTGTGCCTATGAATCCAACTTGAATAAATCCATGAAGATATTGGAAAGGACGTAACTTTAGATAAAGCTTGAATTGTTGCAAAAATCTTCAAATTTTTTATCTTATTCCATCAAACTTCTTAAGCATACTAATTCTTGTCCCCGTCATACTTGTAGAAGCAAAATTCCTCGGATTTGGTTGTGACGTCAATCTACTTGCTTCCTTCAATTACACAACTTTTTGTTGCAAACTTTAAATTTTTTCTATAGGTATAGGAATAATACCTCCATGATTCATATTAGAAATATGTAAGTTTTCTACTCTTAAAGTGTCAACAAACTTATAAATATTTGTAATAGTTATAAATCTATTTTTACTTCTACTGAGAGTAGCATCCATAATCTTTCCTTCCATAGACAACTCAAACAAATTCAAAAAGTTAAATTAGAGGAAGATAACTCAGAACCTCTAATATCAAATGAAAATTTCTACAAAGAGGGATAATTCAATGTCTTTTAGAAAAAGATCAATATTAGAAAATAAGATTGTTTGTTTAAAAATGGTGAGTCTACAACCTTCAAACAAAATAATAGAAGTGGGATAATCTACTCACTTTTAAAACAAGAGAAAAATAATAAGTTAGTGCTCTTGTCATACTATCAAGGACACAAATCTGGAAGAAAGAAATCCTCAATACATTCTTATATCATTATAAAGAATTAGAAAGTTATTCAAAGATATAATATTGAACTAGAATGGCTATTGCCAAAAAAAAAAAAAAAGTAGAAAGTCTTGCAACAAGCCTAAAGACTAGAAAGGCATTGATATGAATGAAGAATGCTTCACTCTTGCCTCCATATATACTTTTAATTAGGAATTACATGGCAATGTCCTATATGACCTCGAAAACATGTTGAATTTGTAAGATACATATTTTAACTTTCAAGGTAAGTTTTCTATATGTACACTACATAATTAGCTTGTATTTTAAGCTACATATACATGGTTAATTTATTAACTAAGTTTCTTATCTATCAATCAACTACAAATACATGTAAAGTCAAAGCAGTATTTACGAAGCCTCTAGAAAGCTTTTTTAAAAAGTATTATGAAATTAATCTATTTTTATCTATTTTTATCTACTTCTATCTAATAATATAAGTATTTACTAGAGTATGTATGTATATCTATGACATAATTTTTGCTAAAATCAATCCCTAATTCTTTCTTATATATACCTATGTCTTCAATTTTTTTTAATCTATCTTGTTTTGCCTTATTTATGGCCATATAAAATAAATAAATTTTATTTTTATAAAAATAAAGTCTAAAACTACAAATTTTTATTACTTACCTATCTTTTATTTAAATTTTTTATTATATCTTTTTAATTAATTTTTAATATGATTTTTTTTCTTCTTTCACTTAATGGTCTTATTATTATATGATAATAGACAATGCTTTGGAAGAATATCTATATTTTTCTTTTTTTAAATATCTTGATAATCTTGGTATTGACTTGAAATATTAATTATAATTTTTTTACCATCAAAAATGGATATGGCATATGTAATGAAAAAACAACCATTTTTTTACAGCCTATATAAAAGCGCTTGCATCTACTAATAGAGATTTGGTTGTATTGGACTTATGAATTTTATTTAATTATTCAAATTTTGAATTAAACCATAGAAAATATCAAGGTACAAGAAATCCAATCTATTTAAGGATTATACTTCTTTAGCCTCAATAATCCAAAAATAATTAGATTAAAAAAAAGATCTAATTATATTAAATATTATTAAATTATTATGACCATTAATTGTTATATCTAAAGAAATAGTTTTATTAGTAGCATCTCCAAAAGATAATAAATAAACATCTATTACTTCTACATATATGGATTTAGTTTTCTTGACTAAAGATATTTCTAATTTTTTGACAAAGTCTTCATGTATAAAGAAATTGAGGCTCTTAAATCTCATAAAAAAAAAGACTTTGAAATTTTTTGGTCATAAAAAAAAATTCATTATAAAATAATGTGAAAAATCTAAGTAAAGAATAAGACCTTTATTAGGTGTTGCACAAGATTCTAGTTGCACATTTTTTATTATAGTTGAAGAAACTTATTTTCCAATACATTTTTTTCTTTAATAACCATGTTTTTTATTTTTTGATTAGATTGCTTCTTTGAATAATATTGAATAGTATATTTAGGTTCTCTATAATATAAGTATAAATCTAATTAATAATGTGAAGTCTTTTCTTGCTCAGTATAATATTAGAAACTTATTGTGTCAATTTGCATAGATTTTAGCCTTAATAAATAAGCTTATCAAAACTTAGAAGTTATTTTTATGACTTAACTTGTACATCTCCAACCAAATCTTTATTCTTGACATCTTTCAAAGCATCGATTATTGCATGCAATGACTTTAACAATAAATTGCTCTAATAAATTTGCTCTTGATGTTATTAATAATAAATCTTTGATATTATCTTTCAAATCATTTTAAAATTGATTGATAAGAATTTGTACTTCCAATCTGCATTGCAAGGAAGGTTTTGGAATTTTATAGCATATATAGTGGTTGAATGTGATCTTTATTGTAAAGATACAAGGTTGGTCTTTGCTATACTTTCTCAATCACTTTCTCTAAATGTAGCCATGAAGACTTCTAAGAATGAATTCAAATCATAAAAGAGTCGTAAATCATTTTCCGTCAAAGGTGCAAACCAAAAGACTACTCTTAGATAAAAATATACCTATGAATCTAACTTGAATAAATCTATCATGATATTAGAAAAGATGAAATCTTAAATAAAGCTTCTCTTATTGTAGAAATCCTCAAAACTTTAATCTTATTCTATCAAACTTCTTCAACATACTTATCTTCACTTCCCTCATACATGTAGTAGCAAGTCTTCTCAAATTTAGTTGTGAATATGATTTACTTGCTTCTCTCAATTGCACAACTTCTTGGCATAGACTTTGAACTTCATTGTTGATTTCTTTTAAAGGCACATGAATATTACTCCCATGGTTGATATTAAAAATGCATGAGATTTTGATTCTAAAAATGTTAACAAGCGTGTGAAGATCTCTAACAGTTGCAAATCTATTGGACAACATTTAAAACATAAATTTGCTTGAGCATCTTACTTGTATTTTTATAATTTTTTAAATATTAAATATCACGTTTTTTATTTTTATTTTTAATCTTAAATTTTATTTTTTAAAAAATAAAATAATAATAAATAAAATATGTAATATAATTAGATGCTTTAAAATATACATATTTATGTATATATATATATATATATATATATATATATATATTATAAATTCATGTTATAATTTATAGATAGTTTTATGTTGTTTTAAATTTATTCTACAAATATTTTAGCAAATTAAATGTATTCATTTAATTTAATATTTTTATTATGGATTTTTGATGATTTTTTATAGTATATAGTAATAAGACCATCTTATTGTAAATAAAAAAATAAAAATTATGTATTTATTTTTATGATATTTTATTAAATAAATTGATATTTAGTAGAAATAAAAACTATATTGTAATTACTTTAAAATTAATAAAAAAAATTCTTAAATTATATTAGTCTTATATTCTTATGAGTATGTATATATAAATTTATATTTGTATATATTGAATGTGTTTATAATATTTTATCAATATTAGATAAAAATTTATTTATTTATTTTTAATGAATAATTATCTTATAATTAATAATATTAGTTATATATAAATAATACTATTATATGATATATCTTATATACTAAGGACAATGGTGTTTGTTTGTATACCTTCCAATAAAGAGCATTACAACTCTTCATGCCTCTATCCATCAATGAATTTATCTAAAGTTGTTAGCCAATTCTTCTCTTGTTTAAGTGTTTTAATAAATAAAAAAGATAGAGAGGCACAACATCCAAGGTTTATACAAAGGCCCGCAACTTGGTGGTATATATTGATCACTTTGTAAGAGAAGTATGTCACTTTTCTTTTCTTTCTTTTTTTTGTTTTTTGTTTTTTGTTTTTTTATAAACATTTTAAAAATTGAAAGTAATTTTTATTTTATTGTAGACATGCTATTTAATTTTCTAAAAAAAATTTAAAAAATAAAACTTTTCTAATAATTAGTTTCTACCTTCTCCATAAATATTTGGAATGAAATTGCTTTAATACATTACTCCTGTAACAAAGCAAAGGGTTCTAATGCTAGTACTTATTTATACACATATCTTAACAATTAAAAACTAAAATTAGAACTCTTACTTTTTTTAATGTCATTTCAAATGCTATTAGGATTTTGTTTGTTTATTCATTTTATTTTATATGGAGCCAAGGTGTTAGAATTAACCTCTTGAATTTCACAATATCTCACCTTGATTTTTTCACAACAACAACAATAATAAATATATATGTATATATATATTAAAGCGACCCAAAATATCAACATGTTATTTGTCCATAACATTGCTATTTAAAATCCAATAAACATTCTACACAAAAACCATTTGTTTATGCACAAACAATTAGTTATATACATACCCATACGCACATACGCATACATGTCTACAGTAGTAGTTATCAAATCTCAGCACAACAAAAAAGAAAAATATCCCTCATGCAGAATATGTTGTGAAGAAGGTCCATAATATAGTAAAAAAGCAGCAAGATGATAAATGGGCTATGTGGGGAAAGGGGAGGGTTCCCCAACTTGTGGCCCACTGCTCAAGCTGCATATTGCCAGCGAATCCAGGGCCCAATGGCAGCAGGCACGCTAGGCAGCCAGCCAGCCAGCGTCACCGAGGAGAACGCAAAGAGAAGGGGAACATGTCTATCCAGTATTGCGTGGCAGCCTCGCTCCCGCACCACCAGTCCCAGTGCACTTCCTGCTGCTGCTGCTGCATCTGCTGCTGTGACTCGTCGTCGTCGTCAGCGTTGTATTCCCCAACAGTCCACGGGAGGAGCGGGCACCACGCATGGCTATGGCCCCTCCCCTTCTCTCATCCCCCTCCCCCACCCCACCCTCTCTCGTGTTGCGTCTCTGAACTGGGTTCGCTTTAACCCTTTGCTTCTTGCGTTGCCATGCTCTCACCACGCGGTGCTGCTCATTTCTACTTCAGGTGGGTCGAACTCCCTTCTCTCTCTCTCTCTCTCTCTCGCCTTATCGTTTTTCATTCTCGTGGAGGGGAGTTCTGAGGTTTTCTAGTGAATTTCCTTGTTTTCATTGTTATCCGCCAGATTCCTTCGTCCGCTGTTAACTGTTGCCCGCGTCGTTAAATATTTTCTAATATTAGGGTTGAGAATCTCATTTATCTTATCCGCAATCCACAATCTTCAGGACCGCAGTTGCTCTTTCCTCGCATGTTCAAATTGGAATTGATGGGTGATTGCTGCTGATTGTTGAAATTGATAGGTGGTTGCTGGTGTGAGCTCAAGCAACGGTGATCAAGATTTTAGCTCCTTGAGCATAGATTTTACAGTTGCATCTGAAATTGTCTCTGTTTTGAGCAAGAATTGTTGGAGAGGTTACAAGGAGGTAAAGAGACTTAAGGTTTGGAAGAATAGCGGAGGGTGGCATCGTCAACTGTATTCCAAGGATTCTAGTGTTTGCATCAAGTCGGATTACTTCTCTGCGTTTTGAAGTGATATCTGGCCCTTCCCAGAGTTATTGGAACCCGTAACTTCCGAGCGGGGACCGATTGTCATGTCCCGAGCTGCGTTATGACAGGTTATAGTAACAATGTGGATGCAGCTCAACAGTATGCCTCATTCAGCTTTGTATCTGAATCAAGTAGCAATAGTGCCGGGAGTATGCAAGGTGGAGTCCAAAACCTTGGTTCCTAATCAATCGCCCCCGCCTACTGCAACCTCTTCCAGAAAGCAGTTGCATCTTCGAAAGGCCTCTCGTGGCGCCGACAAAGTGAGTATCCGAATAAGTTGCAGTCCTCGGGGTTCTAGTGTTATTGATGCTGAGACCGAAGCTGACACCTCGAGCTGGCGATTGGAAGGTGCGACATGGCAGAGAGTGAAAGGGCCTACAGCAGAAGGTGGCCCTCCAGCGTCAGTTGTCTCCTCAAAAGAGGTTCTTATTAGAGATTTCGATGACAACGTAGTCGATACTGGCGCTGTGGAAAGGTCTTCTGGGGCTAGCTCTGATGAGTTTCCAACGTCGTGTAGCGATGAGGACGCATCAAGTTTGACATCTGCCAGGCACACCCGCGAGAGGCGGAAGCAACGTAATGTTTACTCCAGGCCTGATATGATTAGATGGCGGCTTTACGTGGAAGGTGTGCGGACTCCCATCAAGGAGGAGTCTGGATTAATTAAACCTCGGCGAGTTTCTCAACAACTTCAGGATGTGATATTGTTTCTGGAAAGCTTGAGTTTAGACTCCAGTAAGTTGCTGGCAGAGTACCCCTTGCTCAGCAACTGCTCCATTGAGAACGTCCGGGAAGTGGTGCGTTTCTTTGAATCTTACAACCTTCGAAGAAAGCACATCGTGAGATTGCTGAATAACAATCCTCGTCTCCTGGGGTATAGCGTGGAGGAAACCTTCATGCCTGTAGTGAGATTTCTTCTGACAGACGTTGGATTGCGGGAGAAAGATGTGGGCAAAGTGGTGAACAGGTGCGCTCGCCTCTTGACCCTCTCTGTGGATGAGCGTCTTCGCCCCACGATGCGCTTTCTGCAATCCTTAGGGTTCACTCACATGTCAAGCGTGGTGGCAAACAACGCAACCTTGCTCGCATCCAGTGTAGAAAACAGGCTAATACCGAAGATGGAGTATTTGGAAGGGATTGGTTTATCGAGAGGAGAAGCTGTGGAGGCTCTCATTAGGTTCCCGGCTATCTTTAACTACAGCATCGACACTAACCTGGGACCGAAGTGGAAGTATCTAGTCGAAGAAATGGCCCGTGGCTTAGACGACCTCAAGGAGTTTCCTCAGTACTTTGGTTACAGTCTAGAGTATAGAATCAGACCCAGGTACGAGTTCCTCAAGGAACGTGGCATTTCCTTACCTTTAGCCGATTTGTTGAAACCAACCGATGAGGTGTTCTATGCAAGGTTCCAGCCTGTAATCATGCAGGAATTGGGAACTAATGTGTAGTTTATTGGTGATTGCTCCTACGTTGTGTATGGATGTACATGTGATTCAGGCTAAACCATACAAGTAAATCCTGTTAGGAATTTATTCATTTTGTCCACGTCTTTGTCGATCTCGTGTTGCTCCTTGGACTGTGTCTTGATCATTAGATTAGGTTAAGAAGGGTAGCTCTACCCATGATCCTGTGGTTTCAGTGCACTACTTTGATTCGTTGTAAATTTGTGCGAGTCATGGTCTTTTTCCACTATTTGCAGCACAACTTGAGTGAAGCGTGTCATTGCCACGCGATCGCGAGAATATGCACTGATTTGTGTGCACTGCAGATTTAGTCTTTGTTTTTTCTAAAACGATCATTTTTGCTAGGAGCAAAATACGAGATGTCACTCAACTTCTTTTTGAGCAAAACTTTCCGATCGGTAATTCATTCTTGATCGCCATACCTTACAGCAATCTAGAGCTACTGTTGAGCACGAAACAGCTCTTCGAACGCGCAGTTTACTCATGATACATTGTCTTTTACCAGATGAACAGGACACGTGGAAACGACAAAAAGTTTTTGTTTTTTGTTTGATTTCGCCGTAGTTCTGTACAAAGTTCGAAGACGTGAAATAATATTAACAACTGTTCGCTATCATTGTACACAATTGTACACCATAGTATAGTTACATATTGAGTACAGTTGAACTTAACCCTACTCATCTTTCACTTAATGCACCACAAATATGCTACATCTGGTATATTCCACCCATGTGTTCCGAATTCTCGACACCGTATTCCTCTTGCGTAGCTATACAACAAAGTTCAACAGCCAAAAACCTTGTCGAAAACAAAGATCGGCAGGTACTACTAAGGCAGCTGTATATGGCCTCTTGTCGTGTTTCCTGTTGCTGTCACGACAAGAGCTTTTCTCCTGACAGCGTTGCAAAACCGTAAAACCTGGCATGCGCTACTTCATCCCAACCGAACGATTGCCAAATTGTTCTTAGGTTTTTGCAAGTACTTGTAAGGATCAACTTTAGTAGAAACTTTACTCGGGAATTTCTAGTTTCGAATTCGCTCTCAGGCTTCGAAAATGGTGTCATGTCAAAGAAACCTGGCTTCGGCGACATATCCCAACATGGAGCCGCCAAGTTCATGATAAACTGGCCATTATCCGCCGGGGCCGATGGACCATCTGGTAGACAATCCTCAACAAAGGCAGACACCTCGCGATCATACAAATCCCCAGCTGCTTGTCCAGATGACGGGGTCAAGTTCCCAAGCACTAGCAACCTTGCCTCAGCATCACCATTTTCCGCTCCTGCTCAGACGCACGCGACATCTTTGCCACCTCCTGTGCCGCCGCTGCCTCCATCACACCCGATTACTCCCCCGACTCTGTGTTGGTTAGTCTGTTTTGCATCATTTCAACGGATGTGTTGACGGTGGTGCCATGTTGCAAAGCTGCGGCACGGCTTAGCAGCATCTCGTAGAGACCATCGAGGCGCTGCAGTAAATAGTGAAGCTCTTGGGGTCGGTAGTTCGTCACTGGCTTCTGCCACCAAAAGGGGTAAGATAACAGTCGGCGCTGAAGCTCTCGCTCCGAAGCGAGCAGCTGCGTGACCTGCTTCTGTTGCTGTTGTAGCGCTTGGACTTGTTGCACCTTCTGGCTCGCAACGTCGGTGACGGCGGACCCGCTGTCAGAGTCGGAAGACTCTCCGGACAAGGTTTTGTCTATAACGTAGTCTATCGAAGGGTGGCCGAAAGAGAAGGCTTTTCCCGCCTGCGAAAAGACAATCACGCCCACCTCAGATCCGCAAAGAATTGAAAGCTCGCTGGCTTTTTTGATGAGCCCCCCTCTTCGCTTGGAAAAACAAACCTGGCGAGCGCTTGGATTCTCTATCTTCTTAATCTCTATCTTAGCACGCCCCATATTCACGCAGTCTTTGATCTAATCTTCTCTCGGAGTCCACAATGCGCACGATCCTCAAAATCTATCAACTCAAGGATCCAAGAAATCTGGTAGCGCTGAATTCTCCACGAACGAAAATCAGAAGACGCACCGAGGAAAATTGATTTGTACTCGCGACTCATCTATTTCGTTCCATATTCCTGCCAAGCACAAGTTCCGCAGAACCGCAACGTTACCCCTCCAAGCTGGTAAAACATCTACATTCAGATCTTCGTTTCGTCGTTCTCAAGAACCTATAAAATGATCAAGGAAGACATGAAGGACAACCAAATTCGGAGCGGGAACAGGAACAGAGAGAACAAGAGCAGCACAGTAGTGGCGTCGCTTAATTTCTCTAAGATGTGATCGATCGTAAGGAAATTCTTCTGTGCCTACAAGTGAAGGATCGGTCAAGTACGCAGCCAATCCGAACAATACCAGATTGAATCAGGGCAGGAGGACAGCATGTCCTAATAAACCACACCCGAAGGATTATACACCGCCTTACGAAACCAGCGTCTGTGACATCAGCAGGTTGCCAACACTACTTCCTATTCTAAAAACACGTCATCAGATGGTTACCCGAATACTCAAGCGGTGTTTAAAAGCGGCCAAAACATTTCAGTTAGCAAGAACATTATCCCTGAACTGGGAGTCTGTCTGCCACATGTGACACGGCTCGCCAGCGACCCAGTGGGAACACCCCAGAAAAATGCGAACTCGGATGCCATATTGCCAACACAGCTTCCACATCAGCAACCTGTGAGGAATTTTGAGTACTGGTGCCAATCCCGGCAAGTTCACAAAGGATCCGGCTCTGCCATGCCCCGGGGATTCAATCAGCCCCGCTGGACTTCACCGTGAAAAATCAATTTTTGTTGAAGCGTGACTGCAGATGCTTACCATCGCGGGGGATGGGCGATGGCTGAAAAGGTGCAGTGGTGTGGCGAAGGGGGATGGGCTTAGATCCGGCGTCAAATTCTGTCCAAACTTAAGGCCGGCACGCTCAAGTCTGGCCCAGTGAAAATTACTATTTCGTTGGCCTAGATGGATATTCGAATCTTCGCCGACCCGACTTCCTCATGGACCTGAAGACTCCCATGGGCCTACAGCGGCTGCTACCCCGAGAAGTGAGCCATTCTGAAGGATAGATCTCGGCTTACATCACCATTGTTACCACATCCTCTTTCAATTCTCTCAATCCTTTCACTGCGAGTGTCAGAGTGACACGAAACGGAGCTCGTTTAATCACCAGTAATCAGCCTCGAAAACTTGTAGACTCTCAGAGGCAGAATTTGATGGCTCCGAAATTGATACAAGCTTGCCAAAAGTATCCAGAAGAAAAGAATATGAAAGTTATGGCTTCAAAACATTGAACAGTGACTCGGTGAAAAATCTACACATTAGCAAAAGTGATTTATCAACAAATTTGCGGATTTTGCGACAAATTCCTTGAATCGTATGAGGTTTACTATTTCATTATTGATATTCCATGTTCACCATTAATGATACCTTTGGTCACCATTTGTTAATTTTATGAGAATCACTCAAAGCAGATTTGTTTGCTAGTTGAATCAGACATTACAAATGAATCACAAATATACATGGACCAATGAATGACAACTAATCGCCCGAAACAGAGAATTTCAAAGTTTTCTGAAATAATAAACGCTCGATTATCCTCGATCCAGAATCGAAATCTAAGACCAGTAATTAAACGTTACAGAATTAATCATGCTTTCCATTCGAGATAGAGAAACAACTAAATATCACGAAGCAAACTCATACATTACCATGTGTAACTGAAGCTCTTAAAAAGATTCGTTGCGATTTTCGTTTATACACACCAGGATGCAGCAACTGCGAGTTCATTCAGATATCCACTGATATTTCTGAACAAATGAAAAACTAATAATACGCATTTCAATTCCTCTATATTACTTCATGTCTCAGCATGCATGGTCTGTAAAGGGAACTTTTGATATTTGGATCGCAGTTGTCCAGTGAATATCGATTGGCACTTGGAACCAGTTTTGACCGAAGCCCTTGATTTGGGGCATGTAAACTGAACGTCGAAAACAATGGCAATCTTCATGCTTTTCCAACAGCTAACAGTTAAAAATAAGAACAAAAGCATCCGACGTCGAATCAGAAGACATCACATTCTTCTGCAGGAATTGTGAGAAGACGAGGAAAAAAGAACCGACACAAAAATGAAAATTCATTGAAAAAAAAAAACTCGATATTTTGTGATACATTCAAAAAGGGGGAGCGAGAGAGACTTGAGTTGAATGAACCTACACAAAAGAATGAACAATGTACAAAAGTACCCTAGATAATAACAAATTGAAGATACAAGCGGCTCCAAAAGTTTCTGTACCTAACAACTAGCATTGAGTGAAACTTGTGAGGTGCAAGGCGTCGTATGGTGTTTAGAATTCCCACGGTGAGGATTACCATCATTTGCTGAGCTGTTTTCGATTCTTGAATTATTATGTACAGAACATCAGTTTTACTGGAACGAACTCTGAGAGAGAAAGAGATTGAGAGATGGAGAGTTCTTTATAACTTAAGCAAACACAACTTACTATCAGCAACGTATAAAAAAACACACATCAACCCTGTTACAACCATAGGATTGATGCAAACCTTGTTTACGATAGGTGATCATCTAAAACAGCTCCAAGGTTAATTAATGGTTCGCCCATGCCCATGAACACCATATTTGTCATGGGTTTCCTGAGCAAGTCTTCTATTGCAAGCACCTGCAGTAACAACATGCAAAAACCGAATTCCACGAAGTAACTGGTAAGCACATCATCACCAGTGGGTTGATGCTGAATGTATATTTCTGAGAACCTTGAACTTGCCACCAGTGACAAATAGTCAACGGCTAAAATTGGTAGAAAGACTGAAACCAGGAGCACAACGAAGTATACATGCCCGATCAACTATTTCATGTGACTTCAAGTTACGTGCAAATCCATCTTTTCCTGTGCAACAAAATGTACAATTCAGTGCGCAGCCAACCTGCACAGAAAGTTTACACATAATCGTTTGAGTGCATGCAATCAAAAACTAAGGAACTAGCTACAAAGAAGACTGCAGCTATTAAAGATTACTATACTCAGCATTTTTACTTTTGCAGTTCTTGTAAACAAAAGAGAAAAACACAGCAACATCTGATTGGTACAACACCATAAACATTATCTTAACCTACTCTCATTACATACAATCTCTAGATTCGAGCTTCATAAGTTACAGAGTGCATTACAGCTAAGTACACCGTTTGATTCAAATAGTGGATTTTAAAGCGCAATCGGGAAAAGGACAATCCAAGATGAGAAAATAGATTCAGACCTGTGATTACACACAGTCAGTCAGCCTTGACCCTCCTTTCCTATACGTCACCGGGATACCAACAGCTTCGACAAGTCTATCATCTTCCAGGCTCAGCAATACCTGTGACAGTGAAATGAACAAGTCGGTTCATTTTTCGATAATTACCTAAAAAGGTCCAAAATTTTACAAGAATAAGCAGTCAATTACACGAGACACACAGAATCAAAGACTGAACACGTCCTATGCAACCGATGGAAGTGAGAAGCAAGATAAGTTGAAGCTCTGCCTCATTCAAGCGGAGCCCGTTGCATAAACGGTACCAGAAATTCACAAAGCTATGCCCTCTGTGCAAGTCCAAAAGTAATGGAAGCACCTGTACCGTGCCATCTTTAGAAGTTATAAAATGGTGTATAGGGGACCGACCAACACTTCAGCCTGCTGACTGCATTGCGTCGCGCAAATGCTTCATTACTAAGCACATGCTGATTGTTGAAGAAAAATGAGGCCTTAATTCGGTGTCTCGGTGGTCTCAACATTTTTAAACGTGGAGTAAGTGATGAAACGTTTCGCCCATGCCGTGGGCACCCGTATCGCACGCTCCAAATCCGTCCACACACCCACGCAGCGCCAACCAAATGCACAGCGTCCCAAAACCCGGAATCGCTCACACTCCCCATATCAGACGCCGTTCCCCCAAGTCGCTTCTTCCCGCTTCCATTCGCTCTCTCACCCAAATCAGACATGTCGCAAACCCTCGCGAATCTCATCACTGCTTCTGCGCCTCCCACAGAGAACGAGGGCCAACGAATAAGGCACACATCAGGACCAAGAAGACCCCATGGATTCCCCATCCTCCTCCCCACGCTGGCTTGTGTGCTCCACAACCTTTCCACGTGCTCCACAACCGCTGCCCTGGACTGAAGCTGCTCTCGGCTTCTGCAACTCCTACTCAACTCCTACTGGAACTCCCAGTGCTTGCGCCCTCCTCCCTCCACTTTGCTCCAGGAGTTCCTATGACTAGGTATGCTGTGCGCTGCCACCTTCATTCCACTTCATTTTCCTGTTTTTATTTTGCTCTCTTCGTAGAGGACCTGGGCTTGCTTGTGTTTCCTCCCTAGCCATGGCACCCATCTCCAAGCAGCCCCCCAAGAGGAGGACCATCATCGTCCTCACTCCTCGATCTTTGCCCCCACGAACAATAATCTCTGCCCCCACAATCAAGCAGAAGAAGGCAACTACCCTTCCTGCCAAGCCAATGCAGCTTCCAAGGCACACCTCCAAAAACCCCAAGCCCAAATTCAATGCGCACTCGAAGCCACCCCGTGCTTCGAACTCTGCCTTGCAGACACCCGCGCATCCCGAGCATCCTCTTGTGCAGCCAGAGCCGAAGCCTGCTGAACTGCTCAGGCCACGCATAAGGCCACGCGTTAGGCCGAGGCCACGGTGCAACATTACACCAGTGCTGGTGCCTAAGATCATGCCAACCGTGTCCCCATTGTTGTCGAGGAGGCTGGGCCGGAGGATCCTCATGAAAGTCTCGATCCCTCCTCGACTTCCCCTCAACCTCCTCTTCCCCATCGCCTGCAAGAAGGTCACCCTGGCCCCAGGGGTCACCTTCTACCCGATGTGAACCCTGCACCGCTTTCCAAATGCACGCCTCCCTAGGGTTCATATGCAGGGCTAGGCATTTAGACTAGACAGATGATATGGCACACTTTTGGTGCGCCATCTCTCAGTTTTAGTCTATAGTGCACCACCATTCCCCCATTCTTGTATTTTATTCCCCCAATGAATAAAACACTCCTGGGCCATGCTCAGGCTTCATCTTGCATCTCTGTCAACTGCATGAGGACTCTACTGCTCATTCATTGCGTTCAAACACACTTGCCAACCTGCGGTTTCCGATCCAACGTAACCATCGGCATCATGCCACAACACAAAAAGCAAGAAACAAAAACATGAATACATAGATAACACAATCACAATTACATTAAAAACCCAAGACAATTACATCAATAACCCTGGCAAAGCTTGAGACGTGCAAAGGAGAAGTAAACCCTATCTCTCATTATCAGCTAAGAATGAACATTGCAGGAGAAATCACGCCGGGGTAAAAGTAAGCAGCAAGAGAAGTACCGGTGCGTAACCCGCCCACCGAAGCAGACGACACCGTGGAGGACGCAGACTTCCCTGCTGCTACAGAAACTCTCGCAGAAGCCACAATTGCCAAAACCCCTCCATCCATCATCCTCACATTTCTCAACTCTTCACCTACAAATCCGCTCCATAACAACTTATCTCAAGCGTTCTGCCACACTGCAAATGGCGTATCCGACTTGCAGCCAGTGTCCGCGAGATAATTGCATTTGCAATTTCCACAACAATCAAAACAGTCCCTCACATGACCACTCGCTCGTCCTCGAACCCTAAACCCTATCTCTCACTCTGCTAAGAATGAACTGTTCCAGAAGACACGACGAATGTTGGGGTTTCTGAAGTCCGACGCGCCATCTGAGTAAAATCTGTTGATACCCGGATCTTGACAAAGATGCCCTGTGTCACTTTAATGTTACACCGATTCAATGTTGTACTCAACTGTCGGAGCCATTGCATACTCTTACCTATGTATAGACGAGGGTATCAATTGCTGGGGCCATCGAACTCCAGTTAAAATTTTGGACATGATTCGCTCGTTAGGTTTTAAACCATTATTTTCGTGCTGTGTGTTTAGGTGTGCTACAAAAAATCTCAAAACATTATAACTGTACCATGAAGGTTATGTAGAAGTGGAATACATTCGACAAAAAGCTTTGATCTGAAATGTATTTTATTTTATTTTTGATTCTTTCCTGCTGTACGATAACAGATTCAAAAGGATAATCTCTGGCATTTATGTCTATTAATATCAAAGTGGACAAAACAGGTTGTTTCGATAAAATCTTTTATCTGAGTTGCAAAGAATATACGTATTTGCACCTACAGATCTCCATCCTGATAAGCTCATAATTTGACACCATCATAATCTCCTGCAAATAATCTCTCAAGCTACAGACATATGTGTAAATATGACTTAGGTTCAGGGTTTAGGATTAGTGAAACATTTTAAACCCTAAACCCTAACACATGGATAGACATGGAATATTGACCGACCCACATTCAATTCTTTACAGATACATGGTTTGCCACAAAACAGAAATAAGCTGAGAGCATTAATACTATCATTTACGGATTAGGGAGACGAGGAAAACTGGATTTAATATGACCAAGTAGGTTCAGTTTTTTTGGTAAAGAGGGCCTTTCCAGCAGTCGGCGCTACTTTCCTCGCGGAGCATTCCCATTGATGCCGTCCCCGGGAGGCGCGGTTTAAACATATGATCCGTGGTCTAGGGTCAGTCGTGTCCTTGACCGACGAAACCGTGTACTCGTAGAAAAACAGACCCCGGATAAAAATACTCCACTGGAAGCGCGTCGCATTGACTTGGGGATCGCATAAACACTCACCCCCGTTGAGTCCACAACTGCTCACATCCTTTGCGCAGTCACCAATTTGGTTCTGCTCTTCGTATTCTCACCTGCTCGACACTTGGGTGAAGAAAAAATATTCACTTCATCGTAGCGCAATTAGCAAGCATCACGTCACAGAGAGAGAGAGAGAGAGAGAGAGAGAGAGCAAAGGTCATGTGTGGGTGTGTGCGTGGGAGCGTTTGCGAGTTTATTCTGCTGCCAGTAAGTCCCACTCCTGACACACCTTGGGGATTTTTGGTGAACTAACAGTTCTGGAAATGTGAGTGAGCGTTTGAATTTTGAATGGTGTGCTAAGATGCAGCAGAGTTTTGTGGGGGGAGAAAGTTTCCAAACGCATTGTGCGAATGTACAGCGCGTGGATTCTGGATTTGAATCGTGGGCTGTGGGTCTTCCTTGAGGCGCAATTGAAATGGAGAGACTATTGGAAATTGATATTGTGACGTTGAATTTAGTTGGATTTGTATTCCTTCAATTGAGAAGGCGGCCTATTGCACTTATCTTTAATAGATTCGTATCATTAGCTCTGTAAGTCGAGCATTGATGTGGCGAGCGAGAACAGATTCGTAGGGCTCTCTCGTAATCAGAGTGTTACGTCTCGGAGAAGTATTAATGGCACTTATCTTTCATGTTTCTCACGCCTCTTCTTTGGTTGTATTCCAGGAATTACAGCTCCACCACCATTCCGTTTCGAAATCGTTTAAATTCAAACTTGCTGGAACATTTCTGGGACCACCGCAGCAATAATCAGTCACATTCCCCTCGCCTTGAAACAGAAGATAAAAATTCGGTAGGAGCTCTCACATAACGTTTCAGCCGCACACATCCTCAAAAACCATGGCTGGCGGGAACGATATCATCACTAACTCCGTGACTGTAAAACCGGGTAAGGGCACCACCGAGAAGAAGAAGCGCAAGCGGCCCTCGAAGAAGGTACCCACCACCATCCTCGAGGCATCGAGCACCCACTTCATGGAACTGGTGCAGAAATTGACAGGCTCTACCGAAGAGAAACGAGCCAAGCTCGTCTCTGACGCATCAAATTCCAGCTCTCCGTCCAGCAGGTCCGTATCCGGCAATGCCCAACAAGCAGACGTCCCTAGCTCACAGACATGCCACCAAGGTCTCCGCAGCGGCAAACCCGTTGGCTATGGCGACCTCGACTGCGATTCCTCGTCCCACAGCAACAATTACACCTCACCCCACACCCATCCCGAGATGCCAAGCTTGGATTTCTACCACCATGAAGCAGAGACATCCGAATACTACAACAACTACCCGGATTATTCGGTGAGTAGCTCACGAATTGCCGATGAGGAGGATTTGCATCGACTCAGTTCCAGTTCGGAAGTGTCCATGGAGTCCCTGACAGCTCTGGGAAACGAAACCTCGCCGTTCTCATCGCAATGGCGAGACCAAGTGGGTCATCAGGATTACTTGTTCCAGGTGGCCGCAACGCACGCTTGAACCCTCTGCGCCACACCACACCATCGGTGTTGTACAGATCTTCAAGTTGTCATGTGCAGTTCGTGTAAAGGCACATCGACTTTGGAGTGAATGGTAACTGTGAATACATGACTGAAATTTGTTCATATCCACGATCAGCTGATGTGAACCCACTGAGTACATGCAACGGCAGCGAAGGATTTTAAACCCTGAGCCAACGAAAATGTGCATTCCTCCCTCTCATTCTCTCATTGAATTGAGATGAGAAGCCGCTGTTGATTGCAAAACCTTTGCAGTTAGGGTTAGCGTCAAAGTTTTAAAAAGTGCATTGTTATGCATCATGTACCATTGTTTATGAAATAGAAAGGTATCATGTTTGTTACAGGGTTGTATTATGAATGCTTGAAACTATGCACAATATATTTAATATAAAAATATAACTACGACCAGACACGCTATAACAACACATAGGAAAATATGATGGAATGTTAAAACAAACCTAGCCGAGGGCATTAAATTAGGTGTAAATATTTATCTGGGAATCGTGCATGAACTAGACAGCCGATGAGATGATTTGATGAGAAAGATGCGCCGGATTGAATTAGGATGGTTTAGGAACAGAGCTCACTCCCTCACCAATTATTTGCTTTAAGTACCACTTGGACTTTATATTGCCATTGACCAATCTGAGATTCGATAGGTGGACTATTATTCCTTAAGTCGGCGATCGGTTTATTTGCTTGTCAGGACCAGCTCAGCGTTTAGGACGACTACCATGGATGAAGGAAGAGAAATCCACCATCCTCTAGTTATGCAACCAGATTGGTCAAAACAACCTACACAGAAACAAACTTACCTCACATAAACTCCAACAACGTAGTGCCTGAAAGGAGAAGTTTACTTTCCTACACTGCCGGTAACTTCACCTTAAAGTGAGAAATATCCCCACAACTGCAAAGAAATTCACATTGGGTGCACTCAGCGAGCATTAAAGCGGAATAAAACCCAATCCAACCAGAGAAAATAAATAATTAAATAAATAAATAAATATAAATATAAATATATAAACAGCAACAGATAAGTTCTTCAGGCGTTAACAAATCCATACAAAAATTATTAACTCCAATATTTTCAAGCAACTCAAGCGATAGTCATTTAGCTTCATCATGGTAACTGCAAGCATGGAACTACTGTCATTCACATGATTGAAACCAACAGGATTATATGAGGCTACCAGAAACTTGAGAAAAATGATCATATTCGGAACTGCAATTTCATCGCACGGTGTCAAGCTGACGTGTACAGTGTCTCATTTGCAAATGGCAAGCTGCAATGTCTCACATTCAAGACAGAATTACCTTCACTCCTCAAAGGAGCTCCATGACTCACCATTGATCCTGATACATGTCTCTTCCCAAGACACACCCTTGTCGCAAAACCCTGAGCATTACAGCTGCACGTTGAAGCCTAGAGTCCATTATATTACACACTAATTCTATATCACTGTAGGCATTCACCAGCTCTGATTCTTGAGGTTGCAATCTCTTCGAAGATCGATTCAAAGCAAATGTGGCTCCTTCCTTAGAATTTTGAGTTCCGTCTGAGCCCACCTCCACCTATCTTCAAATGTGACGGAAATTCTCCAATGAATCTTTCGATAAGTTTCCGATTTTGGTGGCTTCCCAAGGATTAACCCACGTCCGGTCTCGGTCTTCGAGAGAGTTGCGCGGAGCTTTTGGCGAGTCACTGCCTTCAATGGAGAATCTACGAGCCTTCTCCTCGAACGACGACCGGGAGGATCGCCTGGATTTAGCCTGAATGGTGAGCTCGAAATCCTCGAACTCAGATTGCGCATAGTGATAATGGTGGTGGTGATAGCGATGGTGTTGGTACTGGTGCTTGTGTTCCTCATGTTGTTGACGCTGAAGTGAAGGATGCTCGTCTCCATGAATTAGGTCATGCTTAGAATCATGACTTTGGCCATGGTGTATGTGGTTGTGCTTGAGTTGGTGTTCGTTCTCGTGATTACGGTCATGGTGACGAAGCATGGACGAAAGAGAAGACCAGACGCGTTTGTAGTGATGCCCCTGGTGAAGCTCCTTGTTATTCTCGTAGAATTTCTCCTCCATTTCTGACTCCTCAGCCTCGCTCAGGAGCTGCCGTTGACGACAGAACGGCGACGAGAGGATCGCTTTATATACAAATTTCCAAAAGTAAAGGTGATGATGGCCATGATCATCGTCGTCTTTGTCACTAGGTATGTCAACATCCTTCGAGACATGAACGTTGTTGCGGTGGAAGTGAGCGTCAAATTCTTCACTACTTGTATCCGAATAGGCACCAAGACCGTACTCGCTCTCCTCAAAGGGCTTGCGACCTCTGTTCCTGTGGTCTCTAGTCTTGAGTGATTCATCTGGTACGACTTGAGAGTGGGATCTGTGGAAACTATGGAACAGGCCGCCGCGGCCGCCGTCTAGATGTAGTGAGTGCAAGAAACTCTTCCACTTGTTGTGGTGGTGATGGTGGTCAGGTTGACGATGACAGCCTCCCTTCGAAGTCTCCTGCTTTGAGCTGTCGAATAATTGACGATCCTTTCCCCTTACACTAATTCAATTTGTCATATGCCACGAGGTCACAGCGGTCGAATCACACTCCCCATCATCGTAGCCATGGTCATATACATAATCCCCGTTTCGGACAAGATTGTAGCTTCTGGCGCGTTGCAATGAGCGCGTTTCGTTTACGGCATCAAGTTGGCACTCATCAACTCCGTCTCTTCGAACAGGGAAGCTGCGGCTGTAGAATTGATTATAAAGACGTTGAGGGGGAGCGTGTGGCATGTCGGGACGATTGGTCGAATGCTTCGGAGAGTACACCACTATCATGGGCGGTGCTTCGTCATGATCCGCGTCGCCATCTGCAGCTTCCTTGGTCGGATTACTTCCCACAACTTGCACAGCCTGGTCCAGCGTCTTCATGAGCGAGTCAAACTCGAAGGAATCGAAGAGTGTGCTACCAGCATCCCATTTGGGTGCAGCAGCCTCTGACTCAGACTTCTGTGTTATTGCGTGCTTCATCAGCGCTTCAATCTTGAAGCGCGTGGGTCGTCGCACAGCCCACCCGTGGGTGCGGCACTGGGAAATGTTCTCTCCGCCATTGTGTTGGAACACGGCCCAGGCCACTGCCTTAGTTGTCTGTGGGTTCCCATGAGCATCCTGTTTGAGAAGCTGCGCCCTGAATTGTAAATTGGCCTGTAGCTCCTTGATCCTATCTCGCAAGCTGATGTGGTGATTATGAAATTCGCGATTGTTTTTCTCGAGGTTTCTTTGATGGCCAACCTATATCAGTGCTGAGAGGTTCCATGTCACGAATTGTAGCCAGTAACTACATCATCAAATAAGAGCCACCATGATTTCTTCAAATTATCTACAAGTTTGGCCAAATCGGATCAGTCATGAAATGAGCATGATTCACACTTTCTAGCATATCCTTTCCATTTGAATTTTATCTCAGAAAAGCAATCACTCAAATGGACTAAGCTTAAGGATCCCTGCGTCCCGAAAGCAGAACTATTCGACACACGCACAAAAAAAAATCTAAACTATGGAAACGCTCACCAGATCAATCGAATTCCTATGTAACAATTCTCAAGAACCTGCAGTCCGTGCAAATATCCAGAAAGATAAGGCCGCTACCTGATTGCAAATCCAACACGAGCCCGCTAATCCTGCAAGGAGCTGTCTAAATGTAATGTAAAGCTAAGGATTCATGGTACTCGTTTTCGAACAACGTAGCAGACAAGCTCCTCGATACAAAATGAAAGCCTCATGTAGTGGAATTAGCTGCAAACTTCGTGAAACCTCACCGGGATCCCGAGAGTACTGTGATCAATTAACAAAGCCGACCCAGATCGGACACACCACACAGCTGCTGTCTGTCTGATAGGTACCTCCCACCTCCCGCGCCTGCTCAAGTAGTGAAACTCGTCAGGGGATCAGTAACACGGGAATGAATGAATGGCCACACGATACAAATGGATCGTGTGCGGCGACACCCACCAACAGCACACACAAGAGGACAAGCACAGGCCGATATTCAATTCCACCATCTCCCCAAACGCAACACACGACGTCCATGGAATCCGCTCTCCAATGCCCGCTCTCCACACGCTCTTGTGACCCTATCAGAACTCTCTCTGACTGCCGAACTTAAGTTCATTCAATTCTTTATTTTTTGTCGCTGGGTCGAAACACATCCAGCGTTAATACGAATTATCAATGCCGTTGTTGCAGATGACCCAGAATTGCAGAGCCCCTGCAGTCACCGCTTGCCCATATTGGCTCTCTCCCCTGCCCCTGTCCTACCCGTATTATATAATATGCATTATTCTTATTATTAGAGGAATGTTAAATAGACCCAAGTTTTTACTAAACTACCTTATCCATAGTGAAGAATATGGTAATCATGATAAACGTGGTTGGTTTTGGATCCAGTAGTGGAGAAATGAATCTAGAGGTTAATTATTTCTTCATGATGGTTAGAATGGGTGGGTCAGTTTTATAAAAGTCTAGGTCTACTTAACATTCACATATATATACATATATATATATATATATATATATATATAATTTTATTAGTATTTTATTGATTTTGAATTGAGTTAAATATTCTGTTATTTAAATCAAAATCATACATAATAAATACTTTAGTATATGTTACAAATAACTCAAAGTGTAACAATATTAATTAGAAAAATTGTATAAAAATGCATGTGTATTACAAAATGCTTAATTATAATATTGAATTGCATTGTGTGTTTGAAATATTTCAATTATAATAACATAAAATGTATTGATATTTTTAAACTTTATAAATTAAGATTCTTTTTGGTATTTATAATAAATCATTTGACTCTTTACAAAACAATATTATTGTATAATGTGTAGTGAGATATAAGAAACCAATTACAAATATAAATATTAAATAAATAAATGAGTAAATAATCTTCAAAAGAGTGGTAAGAAAATCTCAAAATAATTTATTGCATGATTTAGTCAAAATTGAAATGCTTTTACTTAAACTTGTAGGAAATAGATTAAAAGAAAATACAAATTTCATATTAAATATATAATGTAATGAAATCAAGTAAAAATTATATTGTATAATAAAACATGTTTAGTTTTTTAATTTATAAGGTTTGGTTCTCTGTTTCATTTGCACATGAGTTTCTATTAAATCTTTCTTTTGTTTGATGGATAAACCTGGATTATTTGTTTTAGATTCAAAAACTGTATTTGGATGGATAAAATTATTAGCTCTTTTTAATGACAAGTTTTATATTTTACTAGATATTCTATTAAAAATTGCAAAAAAATATTGCAT